GAATCTTCATTAAGATGCACTATTTTTTCTTGTAAAGTATCTCAAGAAGTTCGACAACAAAGCTACTTTGGCAGGGTTCCAACTCTAATTTTTCATTTATCAAGTAACAAATTATTGTCCTAAAGCTGTTTTGGCCTGGGGCTAAGCTAATATACTGCATATATTATTTGGAATCCAAAAACCAATATTTATCATTGACTTAGAAAAACAAATAATTTTTCTGACCCAAGAGAATCTAACAAGATCGTTTATTGGATAATCACATACTTTGTTCACAGCTCCACAGCAACAGGCCCTGATAATGCATATGGCAGGGATAATCAGCTATGATAATACTTAACAGACACAGGCAATTTTCTAAACGGGTAACTGTGAATTTGATTGTAAATTTGTCTACATTGATAATCATTTCAGTTAGAATGTAATACATCCAGACTCTTATGATAATTCATTTTCAAGAGATTAGATGCATTATTCGAGCATCCATCTAACTAGATAGCAATCATAAGTAAAATCATCTTTTGTCCTTTTCAACAAATAGATGCATCTCAAATCAAAAAGCTCAGGATGTCCTAAACTTGCAAAAGAAATTTAAGGAAACAGCCCATATGGATTCACAGAGACACATGCTGATAATTAGGAACAGCACTTAGGTGCATGCCTTCGAGTGGATTGGGAAATACTGAGAAACATACCCAACGTTAGGCTCAAGAACAAGTCTGGAGCCAGGACCGTGAAAAAAAAGTTCCGAAAGACTAATACAACAGATAAGCTTTACATCTAACAAGATTCGGATAATCATCATCTTATATTATATGTCTAAGCAGAGATTACCTTGTCAGACCAGCAAGTTTTATGCAGAAGTCATTGAAATCTTTTGATCGACCTTCAGCATTAAGGTAAGTCTGCAGCTCCTTCTCTGCACACTGATGAAGCCTCTCCAAACCAGTTTCAGCTTCACCTACATATATGACATACGCAACAATGCAATTAGAACAGCACTATTAAGGCTTGCAAGTAGCATATAGAGAACTTCAAACAGATCAGAGATAAGAAGATACCTTGCAAATACTCAAAAA